AGGGAGGGGACAAGACATCATTGTGCATTTAAGGTTTTCTGTGCACTTAAGGACTGCTATAGGAAACCTTAAGTGCACAGAAAACCTTAAATGCATAATGGACCTTTTTTAAAAAGGCACAGCAAAAACAACATGCTCTTCATTTCCTACCAGTCCCCTGGGATGCTTGGGGCTGGATGAAGCTCTCCTGGGCAGCTGGCAGAACCTCTGTGGTGCACACTGACTGTCCGCCTTGACCACCGAGGAAGTGGCCCAGCTTGGCTGAAATGGGAGAGAGAGTGAATGAAATTTTCAGTCTAGAGGGGTTGTACATGGTCAAAGGGATCAGGTTGAAAGGGGTGTTGAAAATGCCATGAAAATGATTTTATATTAATTTCTTTAGAGGGAAGTTAAGTTGGAAATAATTGAAAGTGATTTTAACTGGCAATAAGTAAACTCAGTAAGACTTGCCAAAGTACCAAAACACCCTGGCAGTATGGTATCTTTGGAGGGATATACTTTGCCAGACATTTAAATTGGTGTTTGTTTGTTTTTATCCTTAATATATTTATCTGCACCTTCACACCAGAAACTAGTAATTTTACCATTTGGAGGGATTCCTCAGGTACTTCAGATACACTACCCAAATTCCCGAAATATTTGTTGCCATGATAGGTTACCCTGGGATATATATCTCAAATATTTGTTTCAATTTTGTAGTGCCCTGATAGCCATGGAAAGGTAGCATTGGGTACTTTGGCCTGCCTGGGTAACCTTTCCTTCCTTCATAAGACGCCCTATTAGACCTGACGCTATTGAAATACGTGGAGTTTAATTAGATCTGGCAATATGTGCGTACATATGTATTGTATAAGTATTTAGTTGGTTGACAAGGGATGTTATTGTGTTTGGTTGGAGAGTTATGATAAGTCAGGACTGAGCAATGACAATATTGACATGTGAATGTTTCCATCGCAACGCTAGGTACCGTGGTTGTTCTCGAGGAGGCTTTCTCGCTTGAACTCCTTCACCGTGGGAAGTTGCGTCGCAAAACTTCAATACAGCACATTATATTGAATAAACAGCACGTATACTTCATGTTTACATATACCTCATATGCATATTGTAGCTGTCACATTGTATAAGGCAATAACAGACGAAGCAGCATAGGTCAACTCCCTCTACTAGTTCCGCGGAAGATACTGTGCCGTGTATGTGACGTAGTGCCATAAGCTCCGCCCACTCATGAATATTCATGATTTCTGTGCACTTAAGACTATTGTGCGTTTAAGGGCACAACACACGCGGCTATATTTTAGCATAAACTACACCTTAGTAACTTCAAACCGATAACACTCATTGCCGGTTAGGGAAAACTGCAAATGTAACGTCTACACATCTTTAAAGATTTCCTTAGATTTGGATCATATTGCGTTATACCATCGTTCATCACATGAGCATCGTATCGTACTATCGTATTGTCAAGTGCGCTAATTCAACTATGTATGTTGCAAACTCTATATGACAATTTATCCCCCCGGGTTTAATGTATATAGCTCATCATGTATAGACAATAAATATATATGGGGGGCGCGGTGGGCGAGCTGGCTAAGGCGCCAGGCTAGTGATCCAGCGGTTGAGGTGTCGGGATCGAGCCTTCCTGTGACCGGGTGTAAAAACCTTTGAGTCAACTTTGTGTGCAGACTCTTTCAATGGTGTCACAACCCCTAGTGTACAGTACACAACCCTGTGCATTTAAAAGAACCCACGAATCCGTTGGTATATGACCAGATGGTGGCCACATGAATATGGGTGGGTACAGCAAGGTGCAGTAAACTTGGACAAAGTATTGTGACTATGTGTCCCAGTCCACCCAGCTGTGAATAGGTACCTCGTTAGGATGAGAAAGCCACACCATAACTCGGTGCTCCTAGTGGCTGCAAGAGTTGTATACTCCCCAGGGAGTTGAGATTGCCGTTGAGATTGACATCCAATGATCGAGGGAAATAATACCAGCACCTTGTGCATGCACTAGTTGCCTGGATTTATAGATATCCTATACAACATAATAAACATACCGTAACGTAAAAGCCAACTGATACTAGACAATCCAGTGATCAACAGCATGAGCATCGGTACTTGGTATATTTGGCATGACTTTGCAGATTTCTCCATTTGGTCGCATCATAAGCACCTAACCAACCCATATTTTCGCGTTTTTATTTCTCCAGTTTGCCAGAAAGGCCATAACGTGAAATACATTCTTAACCATACGGTTAAATCTTAATAGAAAGTTAAGTTCAAGTTTGTAAAGACACGATATGAAACGTTTTGTTTTTCTTTGATCTTTTTATTTCTTTTTTCTTCTTAAATAAACTAACTACGCGATAATACAGATGTTCACTGCTGGTTAGAATTAAATTTCAGCTGAATTATTGTCCATAACGTAAAATACATGAAAACAGCGACATAGAACATTTCTTCTTGTTTTTTTGGTGAAATTTAACAAAATGCTTAACAGTATGACTTCTTAAAAGTTGTCTAAATATATTTTGTGCTGTCATTAGACACTTGTTTCCGCTTCCACAACTCATCATGTCATCTCACTAACGTAGTCCAGAGACCATCTCCTGTTGGCGACATTTCTATTTTGGCAAGTTCTTTCTTAGCTGGGGCATTTCTCACAAATATTGACTGCAACATGTGACACTAAAGTTAATTATTATGTTGAAACTTCGATTTTAAATTAAATCAATAATATATTGTAACGTTTTAAACAAGCATTTACCGGTAAATGTTTTGTTTATGAAGACGACGTTATTTTTTAGCAATTGTGCACCTATATTGAGAATGAGTGTCTGAAGGGTATTTGTATGTAAGACTTTCTGATATATGCATGTAATCTTTAACACTTATATAAGGCGTAGGGTTGGATGTATGGCGTAGACGCTAAGAAATATACGTCGTATTGTGTATTATTCACGATATGAGATTCTTGACTTATTTTTCTTTTTAGGCTGCTGGGAGTTTTACCAAGGAGTGTTGGTAAAGCGGTTATCCCCAGTACTTCAATATAATTCCATGTCCAGAAAAAGAATGTCACCATGTGGGATATTCCTGAGTAGAATCAGTTATGGTACACTATAACTTTACTTGCAAACAGAGTATTTATTTATCTCCAATAAAATGCTATGAAATCGGTGTATGTGCCATTCATTCATGCGGTCCTGCTTTCACACGTATCACGTGTATGCTCGTAAGGTTGATCAAGTTATTCTATGGATCACAACTTCTGTATTCTATTGTTGTCAGGAAAAAGTGAAGTAATACATCATCATCATTAGTGGTAAAAGCGGAAGAAGACCGAAGACCGAAGACCAGGGTTTGATTCCCCATATGGTTAAAGCGTGTGCGATTTGTGGTGTCCCCTGTCCTGATATTGCTGGAAAATTGCAAAACCCACACACTCACACATTATATGGAGATTTTACTTGCGCTTTCCGACAAGATGTGTATTTTCAACAGGGGAGTAATGAGTGAGTGAGTGAGTTTAGTTTTACGCCGCACTCGGCAATATTCCAGCTATATGGCGGCGGTCTGTAAATAATCGAATCTGGACCAGTCAATCCAGTGATCAACATCATGAGCATCGATCTGCGCAATTGAGAACCGATGACACGTGTCAACCAAGTCAGCAAGGGTTACCACCCGATCCCGTTAGTCGCCTCTTACGGAAATGAGTGAGTGAGTGAGTTTAGTTTTACGCCGCACTCAGCAATATTCCAGCCATATGGCGACGGTCTGTAAATAATCGAATCTGGACCAAACAATGAATATCGATCTAACCCGAATCTTCACGGGTTACAAGGGAAGTAATACTGTACCGTGTAGACTTATATACATTTAATAAGGATTAACAAATACAAAAGCAGCATGTACATAACAAAGTGTTACTTCTCACTTGCAAAACGCAAAAAAAAATTACGTTGCTTTACCGTTTTGTAGTTACGTGTTTGCATTTGAATTAGAGATTGACAACGTCTTATGAATGGCCGTGGTTTTTAAAAACGATCAATGCCAATAATCCATTATAGTCTAAATTATCCTCTGACTTGTGACTTCCCAGATATTGTGAAGGGTTTGACTGTACATGTTCGAGGCCACTACTCTAAAGAAGTATTACTTGGTAAATTATCACAATTTAGCAGGCTGAAAAACTGTATGTGTATTGGTACACACCTACAGCAACGTGCAGTAAACTTGGAAAAGGTACTATGCCTATGTGTCCTAGTCCACCCAGCTGTGAATGGGTACTTCGTAAGGATGGAAAAGCCACATAAACTCGTTGCGCCTAGTGGCTGCAAGAGTTGTATGATCCCCATGGAGTAGAGATTCATAATACAATGTGCCGTTTGAGTTTGACATCCAGTGATCGAGGGAAAATTAAAGCGCCTTTGAGCAGCTGAGCTGGATATTGGCGCTATACATATGTTAATGATATATAATGTATCATAATCAAATGGTTGCGTGTCGAAAATAGGGTATCATTTACATCCATCGTGGAAGGGTTTTCGCTTTGCAATGGAACACAAAACGCTAACAGTAACAGAGCTCAAAACAGTATGTGATCATATATTTCATTTTAGGTGTGAATGATTTCTTGTGAAAGCATCTAAAAATGGAATATAACTAAAGTCGTGACAATTTAAATGACGTAAGCACAGCGTATTTAACTGCGTATTAAAATCTGGTAATGGTGATGTTGGTTAAACAATTAACATGAAATCTTGACAAAGGTAAACGATGACAATTTGTAGTGAATAAAAAGCATCCTGTCCTAATTACCAAAATTAAGAACACACTTAAAACTTAAGAACAAGTAATACGTCAATCAAGTAACAACGGCCATTTGTCGTAAACCAGCTGACTCTAATGAATTGAATAGTGATTATTAGCTTTTTCTAAACAACTTCACATAAAATCACACAGGAATATGATACAACTGAAAATATTACCTTTTGTGGTAAATATTATGAAAAAAATCACATATCACTCTTTGTGACATTCCTGAACCAGTTGCATTGACACGACGAATCTGATGGCTTGAACTGCACAACCACAATTATGTAGGTGGCCAGTGTTCCTACGATCTGAAAAGGAAAGCCATTTGTGCTTTAAGAAATCGGGGTTTTGGGGGTTTTTTTTCGATATCTCTTAAATTTCAAATTCAGATAAATATGTGTACTGTCAAAAAGTCCCTTTATGAGGAACATAGGAAACATAACATTTTCTGTTCCTGGTTCGTAATGATAGGAAGAAGAGTGAGTGAGTGAGTTTAGTTTTACGCCGCATTCAGCAATATTCCCGCTATGTGGCGGCGGTCTGTAAATGATCGAGTCTGGACCAGACAATCCAGTGATCAACAACATGAGCATCAATCTGCGCAATTGGGAACCGATGACATGTGTCAACCAAGTCAGCGAGCCTGACCACCTGATCCCGTTAGTCGCCTCTTACGACAAGCATGGGTTACTGAAGGCCAATATTCTAACCCGGACATTAATGGGAAGAAGAACAGTATGTGAACGATATAAGGCAATGATAGAAAACGATAGCAATTATAATAACATTTCATTAAAAGTCCGTAATAGATAAAAATAGTAGTAAGCTGTTGAAAAGCTTTCATTTGGAATTCTGCATATCATTAAATTATATACTTGAATTATTTCTCGTTATATTCACATCTGTAGTATAGCCATCATAACTTACCCCGAGAAGTACTGGCATGGTGATGGTGAAGAGGCCGTGAATGTTGAAGCCGATACTGTTACCCGTCAATCTTGACACAAACAGGTTCATCTAAAGTAGAAATAAGTTTAAGACTTCTAGTGAATGTAGACAAACACTATGGATACCAACGTCTTCACTTCGTGAGGGCAACGTTTCGATACAGATTCTTGTACCGATGTCAAGCAGGAATGCCACTCAAAGAAGACTTCCAGTGAGACTAACGGATGACACGAATGATTGTTATATGGTGATATGAATATGTATTGAATGCTTAGTTGCTATTAACTGATAAATACCAAAGCATTGTGGCTGTCAAGCTCCACAGGCTCTACACGTTCAGTCCACGCCCCCAACAGTTTCCCAACAACCTAAGATATGCTTGTGCTAGGGAGATGGGATGGAGGATTGGCGATCAAGTGGACAGTTGTCAGACCGTATGACGTGGACGATTGCGCGCCATCGTACCTCAATGGATGCTCACAAAATCACTGGTCAAGACAACTGGTCAGAGGCTGCCGTCTTACAGTTTGAATAGCGTTTGGGACGTATCGTGAGACAGCTACCTAAGAAATCATATCAGTTGTGTAATGGTGTCACTTGTTAAGTTCCTGAATATAACTCTCTGGGACAAACATACGGTTTGATCGGCTTCCTACAATCCAAATGTCTTTTATTTACAGATTAAACTGTTACCTAAATATGCTGTATGGATTGTTAAATATGTTTACACGAATGACCAATTACCATTTTGGTTCCCAGTATTATACTTTAAGTCTCTTGAAATACTAGGTTCTGAAGCTAAATGTTATGATTACTTTACTATCATCATGTTTACCTTAGGAGAAAGATTTGACAACATTCGTGCGACCAACAACAGAGGCAACACAAAAATGGTACTGACAACTACTGTTAGTGTATGGGGTCGAATCCCGGATGGGACACAACCGGAAAAAGTACTAGAATCTGCAGTTTACACAGACAGCGTTATCCCAAATATAACATATCTGATTTGACCACTTTCTAAGTGGCATTGTGCATTCATAAGTGTATATGTGTAAGTACAAAGTAGTTCAGTATATACCTTCTGCAGTCCTTTGTCAGAGAAACGTTCTTTGTCAAGCCTCCATACATACTGTAGAGTCCCATGAGCCTGCAACGAAAACCTTCACGCTGTTACTGTGTAACTTCCATGTTTATGTTAACCCCTATCTATTGCAGAATTAAATCAATCAGTCATTTCATCATCCACTTATTTTGTGTTTTAATCGCACATTCGCCCTAGTAATAACGTTACTATATCATACCAAACTGTATCAATACTCATTGATGTCATTATACAGATAGTGTCTCACTCTCGCAGCACGCTAGCACGAAAGCATTCATGCACTCAAATATACCCTGACTTACGCACGCAAAATTTACTCTTGAAAAAGAGGGAGAGCCTGACCTTTCAATTTGGATAGGAAGTATAAGCGTAAACAAACTTTTCAAAGACAGACATCTTATGAACGCACCGCCATTTCTCTTTATCACCACCCCTAAACACAACGCATGGGATGCACGTGCACAACACAGTAGCCCCATACACGTGCATGGGGTGTCATTCTTAATTTTGACGGTTTTATTCGGTACCCCATGTGTACTCCAAAGAGATAATCGACACAGATCAAACAGTTTCTCTACGTCAAGCAGTTCAACTTGAGTCAGTTTGTGGTGACCAAAGATTTGTGAGATGCAACTGTGCTGGGGCCAATTGGTGTCAAACCAATCGCTGGAGTGCAAAAAAAAGGCCAAAGGAAAGTGCAATTCCAATGTCACTCAAATTTGCGATGTCCAAACAAACACACACTCCCAAATGTCCATATTTACGAGTATGATGTAATGTCGAATGAATGATCCATGTATCGTTCAACAGTCTCTCTGCGCAAATAACTCATCTTGTAATCATCGAAGATTCCTAGTATGTAATTCACCATTATTTATGTTCTAATGTTGTCTTGTAAATTAAGATTAAACCTAATCAACATGGTTCTTCTTTGTCACATTATTATTTCGTATAAGGGTTCACTGTACAATATAAACACAAGGAGTTGTGCCCAAGAATATGTTTTCAGTAAACAAGTATAATTTTCCCTGGTTCATTTCAGTGATTATGTCTAATTACTGAAAATGTCAGTAATTAGACATAACCACTGAGTGAAACAGGCATTAGACATAATCACTGAAGTTTTCAGTGATTATACAGTAAAAAGTAAACACTAGTCCTCACCTTTGAACTAACCAATGCCGCAGTAAGTAGTATGAAACCCAAGCCCAACACAGACCAGCCAAGTCCACAGCTGTAAGTAATTACTTCTACGGAACTATATGGACTTGATAAAATGGAATATATGAGAGCACAGGCCACAGGCAAAGTCAGGAATACACAACAGAAAATGAAGTGTTGCATATAGTTGCTGATATCCTCAAGGACTTCAGTTATGTGACCATGATGAATGACCAAAGTGTTGAACCTGGATTCAGTGTCTTCACAGTAACTGTTCGTAAGTTCCTTGAATTGTGTTTCTACACGGTTAAATTCGTGCCACAAAAACAGCGACAGCACGTATGCACTGATATAATTAGTATGCCAGTGAATCTCCAAAGATGTGTATCCCAGGTACGTGATACCTATTCCAACTGATTTCCCAGGTTCATTGAAGGTGTTGGAAGGGAGGATATCGTTCATGACTTCAGGATAGACGCTCGCCATTAAGTATTTAAGTGGAACAACTAATACCGTGAATAGAGGAAGCACAATAGCAATTGCTCTCAGCTTCTTCATCCGCGTTTTGAATCCATCGCTGAATCCGTACCGTTCTTCGTACTTGGCAAAACGAACATGCAAGATTTGGAACGATTTTGAGAGAAAGATACTGTACACGAATGATACGTACAGATATAAGACAATAACTGCAAAGAACGACAGAAGACGGGCAACTGATCTAGATTCCATTGCATAGTTGTAAGTCGCAATGAGGAAGAACACAGCGTTGGTCATTAAAACTATTTCAATAAATATGACATACACTAGTTTAAGTATGTCCCACCGTGTCATTTTCTCTCAAGGGTTCGCACGACGATAGATTCCCCCGAGACAGGAAATGGCACGCAAATATTTAAAGAGTGAAGCTGTAACGATGGACCGCTGGACTTGATTTTGGGTTGGTATTTCCACAGTATGGTTCTTCACTTTTGAAAACATTTTCTTTAATATGTAAAAATACCTGGCTTCCAGATATTGACGCCTCAGAATTCACAAAAGCAGGGCGCGATTAGGAATGATTTTAACAATAGTTTTACCACTGTCACATCAAGAATGGGCTCCAGCTTGAGTTGGTGACAACAACAACGCGTCCAATTACCTCTACTGTTCTGTTTCCAAATTGTCAACTGCACTGCGTCGGGGTTTATGGGTTACAATTCACGAATCTATTGCATTACGTGTACAAGAACAAATTATATTCCAGAACAAAATGGAATCTGCCAGTCGTAATCCCGTGTTTCCAGTGTTCACACTAACAGTACAGTACCAAAGACATTGTCCCTGCACAGTGAATGCTCTTCCCAATAACAGTGCGCTGCAGGTGCAAATGCGGGCTTCTTTTCGTGTGTTTCGTCCCTTCCCACAGACACCGACTCTCTAATGCTGGTATCCGTTGTGAAAAGTAAATGTCATGTTCTATCATCCAATGTACTTCATTCAAATGGAATGCATTAGCAACCCTGACTGATTGCATAACCTGAAAGCAATTTCAACAAACCTAATTGGTTTGATGACTCGAAAGGCATTTGTGCCCACTCCCCAACATTGTCATCAAATGTGATAGAATCTAATGTGTTTTACGATTAATCAATGATGGTTTGTTTGTTTTTGTGTTAGTTCTATGATATCGGTTTGTAGAAACAAATCGAATTGATAGCATTAACAAATATCTTTATCACCGGCCCTGCGAAGTGTTGGGCTACCTGACAATGCGTTGCCTTCCACCATAAGTAAAACACTTATTGTAATGTTTGACTACAATAACGATAATAAACTGTCCTAAAATTAACACGAGATATCACGTGAAAGTCACGTGAACGAAGCCGCGATGAAATCATCATGTCTTGTGCTGATCGGGGCCAAACAAAAAGCACGGGAATGTACACAGTTATCATCTTCTGTCCAAATACGGCTCGCATCATTATTCGATCCGTCGTCGTTGGAGAACCAACACGTACGAAGCGACCATAATTAGGATAACAGTCCACAATTTCGAAAAAAATATTTATTTAATTGCAATGCTACTCCCGGTTAACGTTACAATCTTAAGGCGATCAATGTGCGAAAACATTTCATTTACATATATCGAACGGCATTTGAAGTGCTTCTTACTGCATTCTAAGTATTCTTACTGCATTCTAAGTGTTTTTACTGCATTCTAAGTATTCTCAACGTATTCGAGGGAGAATGGAAAAGGCAAGTCACTTCAAATCCTGTCAAAACTTGATAAAAAAATGTTATTTGACAGTCACTCCCCAATGCGGTTCGAATTTTGGAATTTGTTTTTTTCTGGCTGATTCTCCTTCATTTCTGTCAATTCGAAATAAGAGTGAAGGAGTCTTGAGTGTTTCTTATTATTTTTGTACTCGTCAATTATAGGTAAATAGATATACTTTATTTCCTCCATAGCACATGAAGATAAATGCAAGGTTCACAGGTACATTACTGAACAATTTTCCGTGTTCGTGACCCAATTTGCTGCATTTATATGTGATCCTTTTGCTTTAAAGTGGTTGCATCGTTCAGATGTTTTGGGTACTGTTCAAGGTTGAAGCCAAACAAAGTATATTAGATAAAAGTGTTGAAAACTAAATTCTGGTGTGTATATATCCGGTTATGTTACATATACTGTATATATCATTCAGACAGAAAGGCGAATGAGGTTGTGTATAGCATGTCTTACATATTATATTTCCAACTTGTGAGCACATTCTGAAAGAAATTGCTCAATAGAAAAAATTTCAGAGATTTATGACTATTATTATTAATCACGTGTCCGTGACCAGAGGTGGGTGAACGCCTTTAAAACCTACTGTTTGTGAAATTTAAATACTCACTTACACACTCATGCTCAATTTCAGAATTATCACCTACTCCTATATCCAAGACAACATGCAATAAAACAAGTAAAGTCAAATCCTCACCTTAGAACTGACTAGTGCCTCACAAAGTGCCTCATTCTCATTCTGTGCTCCTTCTCTCTGGAACTGTCTTCCTTTTGATATCAAAACCTCCCCATCTTTAGCTGTCTTCAAGTCCAAACTTAAAACCCATCTCTTCTCCAAGTACTATCCTTGATACCTGCGCTTTGAGCAACCGCAACGGATGGAAAATAGCGCAATATAAATGCACTTATTATTATTATTATTATTATTATTAGAAGGAGACCAAAGCCAATTATAGTCGCGCCACACTCCGAACCATGAGTAAATGCTGTGAGGAACCACGAGTAATGGATGTTATAGAATATATGATGGCACAGGTCACAGGCAAAGTCAGGAATAAAGAACAGAAAGTGAAGTGTTGCACATAGTTACTGATATCCTCAAGGACTTCAGTTATGTGACGAAAATGAATTATCAAAGTGTTGAATCTGGATTTAGTGTCTTTGCCATCAATGTTTGCAATCTCCTTATATTGTGTTTCAACACTGTTACATTCTTACCACTAAAACAACGAAAGCAAGAGTACAATGATATAATCGGTTTGCCAGTGAATCCCCAACAATGTGTATCCCAGGAATGTAGTACTTAATCCAACTGATTTCCCAGGTTCATTGAATATGTAGGAAGGGATGACACTGTTCACGACTTCAGGATAGCCCCTCATCATGAAGTAATTTATGGACCTGGGATTCCTACTTCTTGTCGAAATGTTTACCTCCACATTTTCCAAAGCTGTATCAATGACAAAGTCCAGCATTTTCCTTTTTGTTTTCTCGGTAAACGTGACATTTGCTTTGTTTTTTGACAAATTTTACTGAACCTCTGAAGATAGATATGCAGGTATGTCTGTGTTCACCACGTTATTTACAACTTCCTCATGAATCAAGGAATTGGGGTTTCCTTGAGTTTGCCATGGTGGTATACAACGTTGAAAAATCATTGAAATGATTTGACAGAACTGAACTCGGTCCTTTTCAGAGATTGAAAAATTAAAGCAAATCCTTTGAGTGTTTTTTTTTATAATCCACGTGTATTAATTCTGCTAGTCCTAAATACTTCCTGTGACTATCGAGAAAGTCCTTTTGAAAGTCATATCTCTCTTTGTTCGGGCTTTCATGTAGCTTTCGAATCCAGTACAAAAGAGGAATCGATATGTCTTCGAGTTTAAAAGAGTCAAGTCAAACGTTGATAGTACCAATGAATGGTTTAGGCAGATGTATTCCTCAGTTAACATACAGCCATATATCTGACCTGATCAGACACTACCTATTAGTTAAAATGTGCTTTTAGTACTCCACACGTTTTTCACTGCAAATTTGTGTTGTTCACAAAGTTAGTTAAACATGTCCTGAATACACAGATGCAGACAAACCGAAATAGACATATATTGATAATGTGTTTTTGTTTTTACTGTTTCACACAATTTTCATCATGTTACTCTTTTTAAGAACACTTTGAGTATTTCATTTAAATATGCTCTTCACAGAAGAAACCAAAGGGATACATGCACCTCTTCTCTATGGTGAGTTGGGCTTCAGCTTCTCAGTATTCCCCGTCATCACAACGAAAGGCCTAGGATCACATAGTGATGATAAAAACCTTCTCTTTGTAACACGAATAGTGTTCCAAATTACAAATCATCCGCTGGGACATTCCTGAACATGCCGCACTGACACGACAGATCTGATGGTTTGAACTGTACAACCACAATAAGTAGGTGACCAGCGTTCCTATGATCTGAAAATGGATGACATTTTTGTTTTTAAGTATTGTGTATTCTTCATCATGTTGAACTGTATATATGTAAATATGTGACTACATTCTCGGACCATAGTCAACAATCATGTTTTATCTTGAGTATGGCTCCTTCTCTAATAATAGTAACGATAGTACTCGATTCTTAAAAATGATATTCATATTTGCACAAATATTTGTCATGTCTTGACATTAACATTCGTTATTTTCACGTTTGTGGTATATACATTACCACGTTTGTGGCTTACCCCAAGGAGTGTTGGCATGGTGGTGGTGAAGAGGCCGTGAATGTTGTAGCTGATAGTGTCTCCCGTCAATCTTGACACAAACAGGTCCACCTGAAGTACAAACGCATTTGTAAAATCTCTTTCAAATATCGCTCAAGATACACGTTTCATGCAATCAAAGTATCATTAAAAAGACGAACGGAATCTTTTGAACTCATAAAACATGTTACAAATAGGCTTGACATGGTACGAAATAGGCAAGTACCTAACTGAATGACATAAACAAATATGCAAAAGAAAAGAACGAACAGTTATTGCTGTCATGGTTAACAACAGACACAGCCTCTGTTCCCTAAGCTACAAAACCATAACAAAAATGTGGTTACGTTCAATGACAAATAAATAAATTCCATACCTTGTATTTATACCATACCAAAACTACTCATAAACTTTGGAAACACATACCTACTGCATTAGAACTTAAACCCCTAATGTTCCTGTCTGTCAACACATCATTATATTCTCCCGATCTTATGATGATACTTCCCCACTTTATAGAAGATGCTGTTACTAAGATGTCTGACCAGAAATTATCGTTAATCCAAAATTTGCAAAAAGGACTTTATAATGCTCTTATAGTCTCATGTTCTTATCAAGATAAATGGTCTTTTTCTAGTGCTAAAGCATTTAAGCATTTTAACAACACTCTCTTTTACACTATGTAACTGTGAGTGAGTTAATAATGATATATAATGTAAGCACCTGCTCTTCATTGATACACTGCTCCAATATCAGTTTAAAAAAATGTCCTGAAGTAATCTATCATGTGTCTGTTGTACAACATGCACCCGAGAATCCACACTGAGGCTTCGATCATGCTTTAATGCTCGATAATGTTTTATAATAATGTCATCACCTTACAGGCCACATGGATAACTACTACATGTTACAATATA